AGTTAAGATTTTTTTTCATTAACAATTACTGCCTTGAAATTACTCACTTGAAATTACTCACTTGAGTTTACTTTACTCACTTGAAAGTGCTGCCTTTCGCCCACAAAATAGTCAATTCAATTTACAGTATATTCTGTGAAGCTCTTTCGGACGTCTTTGAGACGTGATAAGGCGCCATATCAAATGCAAGGATTATTATAACTATAAATGCATAATTTATTGTTTTAATGTGTATTTTTATCACCTCTTTACCCCCAGCACCAACCCATTTATTTCTGTACCACACATTATTTGTTAGTCAAAGTGGTGGAATGTGATCCACTTGTGTATCTTACTGGATTAGGGAAGGCTCCAGCTCAGGACAACAGTAATGACAGTGTGATCAGGTTGGGAGTGAAGGTTGCTGCACAAGCTGAGATGAAGGGATATTTGCTCAAAGGGAAAATGTTTTACCATCTCCATCTCTGACGGCTTATATTGAACTATTCCTCCAGGTTTGGAGAAATAAACCAATGTTTATTTTGGCTCCAAGTTTCATTAATATTTTAAATAATTTTCTAAAAGGAAAGAAACTACTGCGACTGCTCCTTCCAGCCTCTCTGGGAACAAGGCATAGGAAAAGGTTATTTGGCCCATCAAATCTCATCGCTATTGCATGATAATAAATGCAAGGAAAATATTGTAACTAAGGTTACAACAACAACTTGCATTTATACAGTGCCCTTCATGTGGGATAGCTTCCCGAAGCGCTTGAAGGATAACAAATTAAGGATAATTTTAATTGTATATTGTATTGAAGAGAGAACTCAATGCAATTTGCAAGGATACGTGGATAGAGCGGGGGAGTCAGACTGATTGGGTAGCTCTTCCAAAGAGCTGACAAAGACACGATGGGCCGAATGGCCTCCTTCTGTGCTGTAATATTCTGATTCAGAGGCAAGAGCGCTACCAAGAGCGACAACCCAACAGATCTTTTCCAATTTTGAACATTGCCATGTTATGTCAGAGCACTTAATATAACGTCAATAATTTCTAATTAGATTTAGTTGTCCTATTCGGTAACCCACCCGAAAGCAATCAAGCTCACCCGCAGGTTGGTATCTAATCCATGTTGGTGGAATGATCGTACTGTACTGGGGTGAAGTTGGGCAAAGGGATTTTGATGCAACGTATCCACTGAGGATTGGAAGGTTTCTAATTTGTTTTCAGACTATTCCTGGGTTGTTTTGTTCTGCTCCTTCTGCCCCTGCCCCCGCCCAGCTCTCCCCACCCCCTCATCAATCCCCACCGACAATTTGCTATTGGTGGAGTCATAGAGGGAAATGGCAAATGGACTTCATATCCTAGCTGGGAAGGGAAGATAAGGAAAAGAGTTACATAAGGCAACTCTCACAATCCCTCTAACATTCTAACTTTTCCCACACACAAATCAGTTTATCAGTAAATAAATCCACACCAGGTGCAGTGTAACGACCCACCGATTATCAGGTATGACAGCCTTTTTGTTTCACAAAGTTTGGTAAAAATGTAATTAAAGCATACGTTAAACCCAGAACATAGACAGCACCCAAGTACTAAATGTTGACAATGCCATACTCCCATTCTGAATGGACAGGACACAACAGCAACAACTTGGGACACGTTTGATGAAAAGGCAACTTCAAATAAGTCATCTCGTGTTACTTAGGAGGGCAACTGCAGAGTTCTGAACCGATTAATTTTGATCAACATCAGAAAGGATTTGAATATATTAATTCACGTCTAACCTGTTTGCTTTCCACGACTTTCCAGCTGGAGGCACGAAGTCAAACAGTTGAGTGGTTCTTAAGTCTGCTATTCACAACAACAACAACAACTTGCATTCATATAGCGCCCCTCACACAGGGTAGCGTCCCAGAGTGCTCGACAGTGGTAGTCCTGGTTCACCACCAGAAATAATTCCGCACTAACTTAAAACCCACGTCAGGAATGCCAAGTCTGGCCTCGGTTCTTGGAGACGCTGGACAACAACAACAACAACAACTTGCATTTATATAGCTCCCTTCACGCGGGGCAGTGATTCAGAGCGCTGTTAGAGATGGTGAACCAACTGCAGTTGGAGGTTAGCCCAGCAGCACAGAGGGTGTCAGCCTGACTGCTACCCCCCTAACTCTAACAGTACCAATCACACACCAAGCTCTCACTCCTTTGCAGGATGTATTTCAGCAAAAATACCACTGACCCCCCCACCCCCCCCCCCCCCCTCCCACCCAGCAACTCCCTGTCATATCACCAGCCCTTCACAGGTGGAGTGTCTGAGGGTTTGCTGTTGTTACTTTGGGAAGGAGGGAGGGAAGGAGGAGAGGCAATCAGTCTTCCACACACAATATGGGTAGAATTGTGAATAGAATCAATTCCCAACCCAAGTCACCCAAAGGGGGCATTGCAATTCCCACCAAACCATGCAAAATCCATCCCCCTCCCCCACCCCCCACCCCCCCACCCCAAACAACAACAATAACCACAACACATCAACGCCACAGACACATTTAGCAAAAGCTACATGATGGGGGGGGGGGGGGGTTCTGATTTTTATTGCTACGTCGTATCACATTCAGATCAGGACTGTATTGCCTTGTATTTTCTCCCACCCCCCACCCACCCACCCCACCCTTAACCAGATAAACCCAAGGAAGGTATGTGCAAATGCACCATCACTGCACTGGGGTTTATTTGACACACTCAGGGGTGTGAAGCCCCCCACCCCCAGGCTGCTGATAAACATCACACAAAGAGAGGACAAAGTCCCCTCTCAGGGCAGGTGGGAGGAAGGATGGAATCAGAAACGTTTTGGGTGATGGGCTACTCACTGACTGCGGTCATGGTGCGCTCCTGGACCAGTCTGGGCTGTTGCAGCCCTTTTGCTTTGCTCGCTATCCCCCGAATGAGATAACTCAGTCAGATCCCGAGGAGAAGCTGTGTAGGTCCCCTTCCTCTCTGGCTCTGGCTTCAGCTCTGGTTTGTGGTCACACAGCGCCTCCTCTCTCCCTCTCCATCTCTCGCTGGTCAGCACCAATCTCTTTCTCAATTGGCAATGAAATTATTCCCACGTCGTGAATTATTCAACATCACCCACCACCACCACCACCACAAAAAAAACCTCCACCCACACACACATCCCAATCCCCTCCCACCAAGTGATACAGGTGTTGGGACAGAAGTGACTAGTCTTACATGTCAGATCTCCTGACCAATGGAAGGTTAAGATTGGGAGTCTGGTGTCCATCCAATGCACCAAACACTGGTGAGGTTCATCTGACAAGTGTCCCCCTGGCTCAGGTGCCTTGAGACAGAAGGTTGTGGGGTTCAAGCCCCACTTGGGGACTTGGAATTCATTTGGTCTTCCAGGCTGACACTGCAATGCAGTGCTTGGGGGAAGATGTGCTGCATTGTCGGGAGGCGCCATTCTTGCGATGCCCTCCCCGTCCGCCTGCTCAGGTGGATGTTGAAGATCCCATGAAAAGAGAAGGGAGTTTCTCTCAATAATTGTGAATAAAAAAAAGCTATTCTCCTCATTTCTGTCCTTTTGTTTTTAATAATCATTGCCATACATCAGGTCGGAGTGAAATCTGCATTGCACTAGCCGCATTTATATGCCGCCTTATGTTCTAGGATTATATTAAATCTGTTTAGCAGCAGCAGCGGCAATACAGGAGGAAGCATTACAGAGAAACATTAACTCTGAACCAGCAGCAAACAAATCACATGGGTATTAGCCAGGTATATAACAACAACTTGCGATTATATAGCGCCCTTCACATGGGGTAAAGTCCCAGAACGCTTGACAGTGGCGGAGTCTGACCCCGAACCTGATGGGGGAGAGGGAGGGGGGAGGGAGGTATGTCGTAACTTCAAAAGAAAGTAAAAGATTTGTTCTGTGGGAGGGTTAATAATGCAGACTCTTTACTATTCAATTCTCATTGTATACACTGTGGTTTTGGAGGGAGGATAATCATTCAAGGTGATTTTTTACCTGAACAACTGCAAACACAATACAACCTTACCGTTTCACCCGCTTCATTTCAACAGGCATCACTTTGCAAGTCTGCGTTTCAAGTTCTCATAAGCTGTTACCAGGCACTGCAACAGTCATTTATTTGAGATAACTTCGCCCACAAATATACGGTCAATTCACTTTATCTATTCTGTGAAGCGCCTTGAGACGTCGAGAAGATGTGAAAAGCGTTATATCAAATGCAAGGATTATTATTATTGTTATAACTTAGATATATTGGCGCTTAGCAATAGATCAATTTGGTTGTTTTACCAGTACTAAGTTGCTAAGCATTGATCCTATCTGTGCAACTGTAGCTGTGTTATAATGATCCACTGTGCCAGTGTCAATGTTCTGCACTTTGCACAAAAAGCGTTACAGCAGGATGCAGTGTCGTGCACAGCTGCAAACAAACATCAAGGTATAACTTCATGTCAATCCCTTATACAGCTGCCTCTCAACAACAGCAACTCGGAGGGAGAGTCCGAAGCGATCACACATAATGTCTTGCAGCCAATTAGTCCAGAAGGCTGCTTTCTTATGTAGATACAGCGGTGCAGCCAGTGAGACCTAGAAAAGGGTGAGGGACAGATATACAAGTACAACAACAGTTTGCATTGCTATAGCGCCCTTCACACGGGGTAGTGTCCTGGTATCGCTGTGTTCAACTACAGGGCTGGGAAAGTTGCGCTAGTAATAAAGAGATATGTCTCAGCCCAGCTCAGTCTCTTGACACTCGTCTCTGAATCAGAAGGCTGTGGGCTCAAGCCCCACATCCTGACCCCAAGCCCACTCTCCAATGTAGTTCTGGGAGGTTTGCTGCCATACCAGAGGTGCCTTCCCTGAGCGATACAACAATCGATGTCCCGTCTGCCTGCCCTGGACCCCAAAGCAGAATGGAGTCTCTCTCTCTCCCCCTCCCCACAGTGGCTTAAAATTTTCTAAGAATAAGGTAACACCACCAGAGTTTGCAAAAAAAAAAGAAAAATCCTGTATTGGTCAGCGAGCAGCAACACATCAGTAACAACGGCACCACAGCAACAAACAAGATAGGTCACACAAAACTCAACAATCTCCAAATAAAATAGCATTAGCTGAATAACAAAAATTGTAGCTCCAGCAGTCAAATTGTGAGGAAACTCTTCCTCATTAATAAAGAGTCTGTGAGCAACATGTTTACAGTTTTCTGCTGTGCAGTGCTTAGTGTGGAGACGAGAAACATAAAGGAACGAGACCAACATCTATCCTTGGTCTACAACATGTGAACAAGAGGATTTGAAACTGGATAATGGATTCTGTGTAAAAACATGATCCTTGCTGAATTTGGTGCTTAGATTCTTTTAGTGTTTTAAAAAAAGAGGGAAGCTGCTCTTCCAGCTGTTGCAATCATTACACCACTTATTGCCACGCAAGTTCCAGGACATTGTTTGCACAGTATTCGATTTGGATTTGAAGTCTCTTCTTCCACTTTCATAATTTCGTCAACATCACTGGCGACGACTCCTCTTCGGGGAAACTGGAAGGAAAAACAAATATGGGTTGAGCTTGAGAACATAGCGAGGAAGGAGCAGGCGTCAGCCATCAAGGCTGGAAATGTCAAGATTTAGCAGCTCAGAACCATGGAGCGCCAGGGAGGGGAATATCACCTTGAGCTGCACCAGGGATAATAATATCCTTGCATTTAATATAGCGGCTTATCGCGTCTTTGGGAATTCAGGTTAGCACCAGATTTGATGGGAGCATCACTCTGGGATGCCCCAGAATTGAGAATGTTAATCCGAGCAGCAATTCAATACATCTCTTAAACATTTCTGTGCTCATTTGAGGTCAGCGTGAAAACATAGATGGCAAAAATCGGACAAAAATCAAGCCCCAGAGACAAAAAAACAACCAGAAGGTTTCAATTCCACATCAAACATTCCACAGAAGTATATTTGGTAAGTATAGAAGTAAATATATATATAAATATATATAGTTAACACTATAATATAGACCTACCTTCAGGAGGGCTTTTGCTTATCACCGGCATGCTGCATCTCCTACTCCTCCTTTTGTTGAAATCTGTTTCTTCACCTATGTATCAATATCACAGGGTTACTTTACACACTTAACTTTGCAGCAACAAATTACTTCTATATATTTCTTCGCACCTCGCCTGAAGACACAGACACACAGTGGTTGTTTTGCTTGTGCCAACAGTCTTCCAACATCCAATCTCTGGTTCTTAATGCCTCAGCCGATAGTGAGCTTGATCGTTCAGCACTTCATCTTACTGAGTGCTTTGAAGAGCACAGGAATGTTGGAAACTACAGCAATAACATCCAGTCTCCTCAAGATCTTACTCCGAATTACTGCATGCATTAGATTTATAAGTACCTACCCACACAGACCGGAGCTCAAGGGTTCATGGAAACAAAAATCAATTGTTGTCTAACGGGTCTTCAAGTGGAAATCCGGCTGAAGTGTGCACACACAACATTTCGCCTCGTGCCCCTCAGGAGAATTACTGGGGTCTCCAATCATGAACAGTATCTGATCAGCAACACAGAGCATGTCAGTGTTTAGACCTCACCTTCCCCACTCGGCGTGGCTGCATTGTCCTTTCGAGCTGGTAGTTTCTGGTGTTTTTCCGATTTCTTTGCGTTTCCCTTGTTGGACGCAGGTCTCGAGCTCTCCAATTCTACCTGGCGATGTCGCCTCGATCTGGAAACCTTCATTTAAAACGGGTTACTTATAGAATCATACAATTTTGCCAGCACAGAGCAAGAACACTCTGCTCTTCAAGTCTGTATTGATGCCAGCTCCTCCACTAGAGCGTCATGGTCTCATTATCACATTTGTCATTTTAAGTATTTAACCCTTTTCCACTTTAAATGTTGCTTTGATTTTTGGACCATGAGCTATCTATCTCATTGGAGGATGTGATCAGCTTCAAATAAGGTGTGCACATTGCAACAGAGTGGGAGCCCGAGTCAACATAAAGTCTTCTAAAGCGTAACTTCCACCTTTACCCATCAATCAGTATAACAAATCTGCATCAAGGCAATATTTAGCATGAATTAAAACCTTAGGTATTTACAATTATTCAGAAATAGTGATGTCAGATAGAATGGGATAGAAATAAAATGAACAAGACCTCAAAATACTGACCTTGGGAACAGAACTGTACGATTTTGATTTAATCATCGCCAGAGTTTGTGCCCGACTGAAACCCTGCAAATATAAAGGCAAATATGTATTGTACCAAAAGGTTTCAACATTGTCATGAATCTCATTTACATGCATCATATCAAACGCTAAAATGTTCCAGTGTATAAAACTAGATCAATTTACTCAGATGCAAATGTATATTTCTTAAAATGCAATGAATAAAATGGTTTAAATTCAATTTGCACATACATAAAGTAGCAAAGGTTCATCAATAAGATTCATCAATAAATCCTTTGAATACCATTGATACATTGGGATGAGAAGAACTGTTCAGCATATGGCAAGCCCACACTATAGAAGATATCAATGCAGTGTGGCCTTGTATGTTCTTCTTTTGATCACAAGTTGGTAAACAGAGATTCCATCTCAGACTGAGAATTAAGATTAAGGTCAGTGTTTTATTTTCAGGTACCATTTA